GCACTCTAGCCTGGGTGACAGAGCGAGACACCATCTCAAAAAAAAAGGAAGACAGACATGAGATGTAAGTCTTAAAATGATCACTTCATCATAGCTTATGTTGGGAGCTTGGACAAGGGTGGAGATGCTAAGAATGTGATATATTTGAGATCGAGAGGAAAAGGACATGTAATCTCCCTTGTGCCTTCCATGGGGGCTGCTAAGGTCTCTGAACTGACCCATCCTGGGAGAGGACAGGTTTCTAGTCAGACTGGAAGAACTTCAGTTTTGGACACTAGTTTTCTATGAGAGTTGTTGAGGTATTCCAAGCTTTGGGAAAGAAAAGGAAAATTGAAGCAAACAGAACGTTACAGGGCCACATGAAGAGAGCTCAAATAGGTGGTGATTTCAAATTAATGTGAGAAAACTAATAGCTTCTCTATATCCAAATAACAATGAGAAAATGCAACAAAAGGAATGATTCCATCCAAATAGAAATGTGCAAGACTTTTATGAAATACTTTAAAATCTTGGCCGGGTGCAGTAGTTCACACCTCCCAGCACTTTGGGAAGTTGAAGCTGGTGGATCGCTTTAACCCAGGAGTTTCAGACCAGCCTGGGCAACATACTGAGACTCCGTCTCTACAAAAAAATTTAAAAAAATTATCCAAGTGTGCTGGTGTATATGTGTGGTCCCAGCTCCTCAAGAGGCTGAGGTAGGAGGCTCACCTGAGCCTGGGAAGTTTGAGGCTGCAGTGAGCTGTGATCACACCACTGCACTCCAGCCTGGGTGACAGAAACCCTGTTTCAGAAAAACAAAAACAAAAACTAACTCACTTGAGGGCATCAAAAAACTTAACAAAGGGATCAATGTGCTACATTCAAGAATGAGAATACTCAGTATTGTAAGCAGGTAAAAAAAAATTCCCTTATGAAGTCATTTTTTAAAAACTTGCTCAAAATGATTCTAAATGTTAATGGGAAAAAGAAGCACATGAGACTAGCCAGGCAAATGCTGAACAAACAGTAATGATGAGTTTTTGGGCTGTGGATTTTTTATTTTACACATTTCCACATTTTTAAGTATGTATTACTTTTGTAATTAGAGTAACAAGAAATGGAGCATCAGCAGGAGGTGTAATTAATAGTGATCTATCCACTAAAAAGACTGAGGTGGAAAGGAAGGACATAAAGATTACATTACTCTGAAGAAGAAATATTAACTATGTGGAAATAAGATCAAGGATATTGATTATCAGGGAATACTATGGACAACTGTATGCCAACAATTTGATAACTTAGGTGAAATCAACAAATGTCGACAAAGACACAAACTACCAAGGCTGAAGAAGAAATGGAAAAGTCTGAATAGACCTAATGAGATCAACAAACTTCTGGAAATTCACAAACTGCCCAGGGATGATTGAAGAAGAAATGGAAAAATCTGAATAGATCTATAGAAAGTAAAGAGATTGCATTAGTAATTTAATACACTTCTCACAAAGAAAATGAAAAGCCCAGGTGTAGATGCTGTCACATTAATTAAAGAAAAATTAATACCAATTCTTCACAAATTCTTCAAAAACAAACCAACACAAAAAGACGAGGAGGAAGAGGGAATGTTTCCCCGCTCATTCTATGAGGCCAGTATCACTCTGATACCAAAACTGGATAGCCTATGAAGGAAAAGAAAATACAAACCAGTATCCCTTTGGAATATAGATGTAAATTTCCTCAACAAAATACTAGCAAACTGAGTATAGCAATATATCAAAAGGATCGTGTACCATGACCAAGTGGTATTAATCTCACAATGCGGGGTTGGTTTAACATCTGAAAATCAATTAATGTCATGCACCGTATCAATAGACAAAGGTCGAACACCAAAGGAGCATCTCAACACATGTAGAAAAAGCGTTTTACAAAATCTAACACCATTTTGTGATGTCAAGTAATCCTCCCGCGTTGGCCTCCCAAAGTGCTGGGATTACAGGCATAGGCCACTGCACCTGGCCTGGGGATGGCATTTCTTTTTGGGATGACAAAAATGTTCTAAAATTGATTGTAATGATAGTTGTCCAACCATGAGTATTCTAAAAACCACTGTATTACACACTTCAAATGGACGAATTGTGTGGTATATAAATTATATCTTGGTTGGGCATGGCGGCTCATGCCTGTAATCCCAGCACTCTGGGAGGCGGAGGCGGGAGGATTGCTTGAGGCCAGGAGCTTGGGACCAGTCTGAGCAACATAGAGCCAGTCTCTTTAAAAAAAAAAAAAAAAAGAAAGAAAAGAAATTAGCTGGGTGTGGTGGTGTGCCTGTAGTCCCAGTGACTTGAGAGGCTGGGGCTGGAGGATCTGTGGAACCCAAGGGTTGGGGGCT